TAATCCTGTGGAGCGCCCTGCGTGTTCTGATTGTCGTCTCCATTGGTGGTATGGTGCTGGTCTCCTCTCCAGCCGTGCCAACGGGTGGTAGAACTGCCACTTCCACCACTTCGTTAGCAGGCTGGAAAGGAGCTATATAGCCCTGCCGCCGAAGATAGGATACGTAATCCCTAAGGTTTTGGGCGGAAAAGGCGGCATGCTCCGGATGTGTTTCACACCACAGAGCATGCAATCTCGCCATGTACCCTCTTCGCGCGGGCTCACTACTCTCGTAGCAATGCATAAGGCTATCTCTTAGTTCATGCGTCCACTCAAAACGTCCGTTTTCATTGCCAGGGTTGTCATCAGTAGGCAAATCATCGTTTTGGGCCCCACCACCTTGCCTCTGACCCCTCCGAGCGGGTCGATTGTGGGGGCCCCTTCCTTGATTATTGGGAACCAAGTGTTGGGTCCACCGGGTGCTTAGCCCTGTGGACCCACGGCCGGCACCGGAGGGAGAATAGAGTTCTCCTTCCCGGGTGCGCCTGGGCTGCCGGTCCGGTTTATTGTTATTATTATTATTATTTTTATATTTCATACAGAATTATTTTGGAGTACCTGTTTTGCGTCTCGTTCAAAAACTCATTTAATAATTGACCACTTCTACTGAAAACACTTTCACAATACCAGAACAAAAATTACGGTCTCTCGACGCGTGTTTCGCTAACTAAGTTAGCATTTTCAGAAGATCATTATGTCATAATGATCCTTGCAAAATTTCTTGCAAAATCTGCAAGGATTTTTTATGTGAGGAAATTTGCACAAATATCTCTCATAATATAGTCGTGGATTTAGCCGGGAAAGTCACTGTTTTCAGATCCTACTGTATAGGGACGTTGGGATAGGGTGAATATTTTGAATTTTATTTGAAATATTTATTTCCCTCACAGGTATGTATCTCTTCTAGTCAATATAATCAGTGACTGTCATCAATAGGTGACAGTACAGTTTTTAAAGTAAAAGTTTCAGTCCACTTTTTTGACACCTGTCATTTCCTGACCGCCCTTTTGAAAGCCTCAAGTTATATCTTCATTCAGGACTCCAGTATTAGATTTGTGTTTCCTGACAAAGGAAAGTATACCTCAAGAAGTTAGTATATTATAATCGTCTTTGGATAAAGACTTGCTGGTTCTTAAATTTTTATTGAATCTTTCACCAGAGGAATCTATCTGACGTTTAATATTATCGGATCCGTAAGTCTATTTCTTATTATTCCCAGCCAAATTGAATCTACAAAATTTTTCAAAAACACCTACTGTGAATAAATTATGATTGATTTAATTGATCTCTTCGGCCACTGTGTTTGTTAAATGAACCAAGTTCAGTAAAGAAAAACAAATGTTCAGTGGCAAAGTAATCATCCCACCACTAGATTTTTGAAATCTTTGATTATATAAAGGTTATAATGAAATTGAATCGAAATCGTTTGAAATGTAAATTCTGACTAATATAATGTAAATAAGTATTCATCATAATCATTAAAAAACTTTTTTGTTTCTCAGGAATAAAAAAATAAATTTTTATGAACGCATATGCATGTACCAAAGCATAACATTGATCATTGAGCATCATATTCCACAAAAATAGGTCGCTATCTAAAATCTGTTTTGAAATCTATTTTTCCGTTAATCAGCTGCCGCCCCCATACGAACGACAACTCTCAGAAGTTGAGAACTTGTGCGAGCTAAGGACTAACGAGGTATTACCTTTTAACGTGTGATTCTTAACACGGTTGCAGAATCATCCCAGCTTCAACCGGATAAATTCTCTCGAGAAAAATATCTGGTCGAGGCAGGAATCGAACCCACGGTCTTCCGATCGTGAGTCGGGCGCACTACCACTGCGGCCAGTTCCACAATATAGAATGGCATATAACACATGCATATAGTAGGAATGCGAGTCTATATGAAGATAGTACTTCTACGATATTATAGTTTTACTGAAGTTAAATGTACCATACAAAGTTAATTTTTCATATTAACAACCTTCTTCATTCTTAATGTTTTAAATTGGCAATCCATTTCCCAAAGACTATTATATTTCACAATGATTTTTGTATACAAAATACTGAACAATTTAAAACCATCTTATTTCGAACAGTATATTGTTTTTCATCGTGATATTCACCACCACTTCACTCGAAATAATAATAATTTATATATAAACAGAACAAAAACCAAAGACACCATGAATTCTTTGTTTTTGATCTGTTCAACAAATTACCAAATGTAATTTAAAATAGCCCATCTCTGAACACGTTCAAACACGAACTGAAGAAATTTTTTTTCAATGTACAAATATGATATGTACCTGTAGCTACAATTTTCTTTCTTGAGATATTATCATGCCTATCTTATTGATCAACTTTAGAATGTATTCATCTAATGTTTGTCATATATTTTTAAATCATTCCAATATATAACAAATTTGTAACAAAAATATTAGAAATTTATGTAAATTAGGATTTTCCTATTTCAAATAAAGATTATTATTATTTTTATTATGATTCACTTTTTATCACATGTTTCCCATCTGGCATCAATTACAAAATTGGTTCTATCAATATTAAATTCAAAATAATCTGTTACGGGTTGATATTATTCTATTTCTTTTCAGCCTAATCCTCTAAGTCAACTGCAACAGCAGACGGAAATGTGGCACAACTTCCAGGATGACCTGAGGCCAAGGTCTTCAGGTAATCAAATTTTTTTTCTATAAAAAAACAAGTATCGTCCAAGCTTCATTATCACAAATTAATTTATATCTAATTATTTCATTTTCTGAAAGAAAACATTTTACTGCATTTAGGAAACCCATACATGATGCAAGATATCCCTCCATCCCCCTACCACCACCAACCTTCTCCTCCTCTCAGCGTACCCAGCCCCCTGATGATGGACAAACATCGACAGACTCCTCATCCCATCCACTCGATGAGCAACACCTCCATGCCGATAACACCTCCTCACAGTAATTCGAACATGTCGATGACGCCGCCGCATTCCAACGAGAACATCCCCCCCGATGAATCCACGCAAATCTCGGTGGGCAAAATGTTTGCTGAAGACGGATGTTTAGAGACGAGACCTGTGACCGAATTGCCACATCCTTTGATGGAGAACAACGTTCAGCAACACCCAGAGTTCATGCCGATGTACGGACAAGAAGGGGCTGCTGCAGCGCAGCAACAGTACAGTCAGCAACAGCAACATCAGCATCAGCAACCCCAGCAACGGCAGTTCAATCATCAGCAACAAAGTCACTCGCAACGTCAGCCACGGCAGCAACGGCAGAATTTCGACAGAGTAGAAGAGATGCAGATGAAGAGGGTGAGTTTTTTTCAATGAATAGTCGTGGTGATAGTGTTTTTAATTTTTGATACATATGTAGGCAGATCATCAAGTGTGCACCATTAGTAACTTTGTTGTAATTGGATTTATGAAATCGGTCAAATTGGGAAACTATACTATAGTTAACTTGAAAGCAAGCATCGTTAAGATCAAAAACACGCTTCATCAATGGCAAATTGCAGATTCGAATGACGAATTGATCATGATCACACGTTCAGTATGATAGAATTTTCTAAATTCATCAAGATGCAAGAGAAAAACAATTGAATAACTGGTTTTGATGGTAGATAACCTGTACGTAAGATTCTTTTCGGGTAAAAACTAATTTTTTAGTTATTGACAACGTTTTTATCAAACGTAAATATCAAACAACAATGTGTTTATAATATTGAGATAAAATATGTTATACCATATAGGCTTTCATAGAAACCCTGTCCATGGGTGAATTTATACATATTATAGTGCAACATTTTTATCAAACGTAAATATCAAACAACAATGTGTTTATAATATTGAGATAAAATATGTTATACCATAGAGGCTTTCATAGAAACCCTGTCCATGGATGAATTCATACATATTATAGTGCAACAATGAACCACAGAGGTAGACACTGGTCATACTTCAGTTCAACTTTCCAAAATAATTTCGTTGTTAATAAATATATATCAACATATGTATACACACACATATATACATATATATTCCTTACAAACTGAGTCATTCTATCTTATTTGGACAATTATATTGGATTTATATATAAATAAAATTATTGTCTCTTCGAATGTTCTGACGTAGACCTTGAGTTTTTCAGTTTTCTGTTTGGTATTTCTTCTTTATCTAATGTGTTTTTCATCTCTCGTTTTTTATTCTCTTCTTTGATTGTTTGTTGTGCTTCAAATACGTTCTCTTCTGCTCTCTTTCTCAGTCCTTCATAGGTGTTGGGTTAGGTCTAAGGTGAGTGGGTCTATTCGACCCTCCACCATAACACGCACGGGTTTAATGTGGCTTACACCTATTCACACTCGACCAAATAAATCCAGCGTCTTCACGAAGCTGATTAGTTTTTATGGTGAGTGGCCTTTCAGGTCAGATGGTAAGAGTACGGCTCTGCCAAACTCTAAAAACTTTATTTGATCCCCAGCGAGGCAGACACAAAGTATATGCTCTGCGCTGTTTCATCATTTTCCAAACAGAGGCAACAGTCTTCCGACAATCCGAATCTCTGCATATGATGATTCAAATGGCCATCACCTGTAAGAAGGCCTGTTAGACATCGTAGTACATCCCTACTATAGTCCAACAACTGTTTGGTATCAAGTTTCGAAGGGCGAATAAACGCCTTGGAGTGAGCCAATCCTGGAAGATTCTGCCAGAAATCCAAAAAACTTCCTGGTGTTCAATCTTTGTTTGGCAAAGCCTAAAGCGATGCCAATGTCAGGTTCTGGTTCGATGAAGCTGCTTGCAGCACCCTCCTTTGCAAGGCAGTCAAATGCCTCATTGTCTTCCAGGCCTGTATGTCCAGGAATCTAGACCAGAGACAATCTGTTATGTCTTCCTATCGAGGAGAGTCATTTTTTGCAATTTGCTACCAATTTGTTGAGCCAAGAGCTCCCAACGCCGCTTGACTGTCCGAGAATATTTTTATCGACTTGTGTATGAGGTTAGACTTATCCAACCTCCCACACACAATTCAATAGCGTAAATTTTTCCGTCTGAAATACAGTCGCATAAGTTCCTAGGCAGGTATATATCTCTATCATGTGTCTGCGACAAAAAACACCTGCACCAAAACCGGAAGGTGTTTCTGATCCATCTGTGAACCAACAACTATCTGCTTTTAATATTTCATTCTCCCGGAGGATCCAGTCCTCTCTACTCGGGAATAGTACTTTATAAGACAGTTCGTAGTTGACAGTTGGAGGCATAAAGTCAGAGGTCATTTCCAGAATGCTGTGACTTCCAGTGTCAACCAACAGTCTGTTGCACTCTGCATTGAACTGATTTGTGCAATTGGCAATGTGCACAAGTCTGTATGCAGTCCTTCTAGCCTCTCTCTCTCCAGAAGAATGTGGAGATGAGGTAGATCTAGAAGGATCTCCAGGGCCGCTGACGTTGTGGTTCTGATGGCACCACTGATAGCCAAACAAACCTGTCTCTGTAAGCCAGAGAGCTTCATTTGGGCCGTTTTCTGTAAAACCTTCCGCCACCAGGCAATTGCACCATAAGTGATCATTGGTCTGAAAATCATCACATGAAGCCAATGGATTTGTTTGGGACCTAAACCCCAACTTTTACCATAAATCCTTCGACATGTCCATAGAGACATGTATAAAACTTTTTCCAAGTGAGCATTCCAGGTGAGTCTTTTATCAAGGATAATGCCAAGATATTTCACCTCCGTTCTAAATGGAATGACCTCACCATTGAGGGAGAGTGGCGTTATATCGTCCAATTTTTCCTCCTGGTGAAGGGGATTATCACAGTTTTGCTGAGGTTGACAGACATCAGCTCCCTCAGGCACCAACTGTCAACATCGTCCAACGTTCTTGGAAGATATTACAAGGTACCCTTCTCCACGTGGACCTTGCCAAAATGACAAGGTCATTTGCATAAGCTTGCAGATCAACTTTTCTTCGGTCGAGGGCATCAAGCAGACTATCCACCAGAAGCGACCACAGAAGGGGAGATAATACCTCACCTTGAGGGCAGCCCCTAGTGACCCTGAACCTAATGACCTCTCTTTGAAGTGTCGTAGTTGCAGTTCTGTTTACCGGCATGGCATAGATCCAGCCAGTTATGGTCGATTCTATACCTTTCCTAGCCAGAGACAATCCTATAGATTTAGGTAGTGCATGTCAAATGCTTCTTCAATATCAAAAAATACAGCAACCGCAATCTTCTTGTTTCTCAACAACATTGTTTAATGCTAAATCTGTCGATTTTCCGGTTTGATAAGCATACTGGTGGTTATTCAGGGGGATGCATATAATGCTCCCCTCCTTATGTGTCCGTCCAGTATCCTCTCAAGTTCTTTCAACAGGAAGGATGTAAGGCTGATTGGTCGTACCGATTTAGGTTGTGGGTCTCTTCGAGACACTTTAGGTATATATAACACCCTTGGCTGCCAACCAACTGAGTTGAGGAAAGTTAATTGTTCAATTGTTTGTGAACTATATCAATCACGAAAAAAATTATAGCAATTACTGGTTTCTTTGAAATCAACAACAACGGTACAGAAGTTTTTTCGATATTTTCAGTTTAGTATTATCTGTTTTGACTCAAATTGACTTTCCTATTTTCCGATTCCCCTCAATAAGTGATGGAATCAAATCATGAATAGATATATCATTTTGTTCGCGAGTTAATCAAACTTTGACACGACGAATAGAGAGACAGACTATCGTTTTTTTTTTAATTTTGAGCATCTTGTCCAAAGAAACCATGAATCTTTCTTGTGTCAAATAAAAAAGTATACTGTGAGCAACGCACTATTTTACTTCCTGAAGGTCCTATTGTGAATATGCCGTGTCGCGCTGCGCTAGACACGGCATATGCTGCTCTGCTTGAATTCATTTATCAAGAATGTAACAAAGTTAGCAATTGTGCACACTTAATTTGAATCAGCCTACATACTGTGTGTGTTACATCAAGCTTCCATTGAGAGTTTACGGTGAAGGAATAAGAGTTATCAAATGATAATATTTAAATCTTGTATTCGAAATATTTTTCGATTAAAAGCTTTTTGACTTTCTTCTTTTCCGTCTTCATTCGAAAATGTGGCAAACTTCCGAAGGAAAAAAACATTTAGGTAGAACATAAGCGCTCCACAAAGATGAACACAAGTTTCTTTCATACACAATCTGAAAGAAAAAGTCCAGTCGAAAACAATTACTTTCGAACGTGAATATTGAATTTCGTATAATTCAATATCCACGTTCGAAAGTAGTTATTTTCAATCACTCTTACCGATTCAGTTTGTACTTCTGTATTCTTTGTGGAATTGAACCAGGGACGCTACACAACGTAATTCATGAAGGGGTATGAAATTCAACTCACGACATCAGTTAGGTTAGGTTAGGTCCAAAGTGAGTGGGTCTTCGACCCTCAACCAATAACTGATACCAAACAGTATCAAGCTTTGAAGGGTGAATAAGCGCCTTGGAGTAAGTCAATCCTGGAAGATTCTGCCAGAAGTCCATAAATCTTCTGGGCATTCAGGTGTTCAATATTTGTTTGGTAAAGCCTAAAGCAATGCCACTGACAGGTTCCGGTCCGATGAAACCGCTTGTCGCACCCTCCTTTGCAAGGAAGTCGGCAGCCTCATTGCCTTCCAGGCTAGGAATCCAGACCAGAGACAATCTGTTGAGTCTTCCTATCGAGGAGAGTCGTTTTTGGCAATTTGCTACCAATTTAGAAGTTGTTCGGTAGGAAGCAAGAGCTTCCAACGCCGCTTGACTGTCTGAGAATATTTTTATTCATGCGTAGATACAGTCGCATAGGTTCCTAGGCAGGTTCCTGGGTCTGCGTCTGAAAACACCTGCACCGGAACCGGAAGGTGTTTTTGATCCATCTGTGAACCAACAACTATCTGTTCTTAATATTTCCTTCTCTCGGAGGACTCAGGCTTGACTCAGTAGTCGAAACTTGTGCGAGCTGATCATTAACGGGGTCTTACCTTCCAAGGTGCAATTTCTAGCACGTTGTACAATTATTTGAAAGAAGAAAAGTTTTTTAATCCCCTTTAAAAATATCCCCCTTTCAAGTTTTCGATAACCTTTCTCATCCACCGCAGACTTTTAATGGAACCTGGATGTGACACACATCATATTGTATCTCATTTTATGTGAAACTCAACCCCATAGAAGCTATGTTAGTTATTTTAATGGTTACTGATGGCACTACTGACAAAAGATTATTCATTCATCTGTACCGAACCCTAATGACATATATTCATCAGCCTGCAGTGTCATCTCCGGCGGCTGCGCCAATCAGGGCCGCCTCTGCCCTTTCGAAGAAGCCATCGCCAAAACCTCTCCCGGATTTCAACGAAGCCTTCGGTTCAACGGAGCGGGGTCGATTCCAGAGCCCCCCCGATCCGAGGCTGGTTCCAAATGAGGGCTTGCTCGACCTCTTCTACGAGGACGGCCCCCAAATGAAATTCGAAGATTTCCAAATGTAAATTGTTTGGTATATTTTATTGATCGCTTTTTGGCGGTCGTTATTTTTCACTTGTTATTGTATATTTTTACTTTGTTGTTTATTAACTGAAATGGTTGCAACGTGTCCCAGTTGTTTTGAATGGATTTTTAAAATTGTTTTCTCTCTTGTGATATTACGGAACTACAAGTTTTCTTGAGGGAAAATTGTCTAGTAAAGTTGACAATTGTAGCGTCAGTGCAATCGCATTTGAATTCTTTAGGCTTGTGAAAATGTCATATAAAGATGTTGAGAAGAAAACTGAAACCTCAGATATAAACAAACATTGTTGAAGGCTCCAAAAGAAACTACGCATTCACAATTCTTAATGCACGTATAAATTAAAAAATGTTTCAATATAAGTTATTCAATATATTTTTTTTTATTCAGATTTTCAATTCATTTTATGAATTTTGACAACCTGTTTGATTTGATTGGCATTATATATGGACTAATTTGCCAATTTGTAATAGGGACCACAACTTTGAAATTCCGACTGAGAGTAAGGCCTGAAGCAAGTTGACATTATTTCTACTTCTAAATTTGTCTAAATGCATTCCGAAGAGTAAAATTAAATTCATAATATAGAGCAACAAGTTCTTTTTCAACGTCCGTTACCGAAAATTATGTTTGTGATCTCATTCGATTTGAAACGGCATCAGGAAACTTTTTGAAAAAGTGAAAAATCGGTTTCGTTTCTTGCAATTATCTTGAGAAGTATTGCAGGTGTTCAAAATATTTAAGAAGAAATTTCCTGCAAAAAATCCCCATCCTGTAAGTTTAGCACCAATCTTCATTAGTTTATAGCCCGCTGCTCGATTCTCTCCTTTTTCCTAAAACTAATTTATTCAACTAATAAAATATAAATATTGAGGAATGAAAAAAAGCATGAATGAACAACAATGCGTTAAGAAATATAAAAAATTGATATAAACATTTGCGTCCTTCATGTTTAAATTTTGTTTCAAGGAATTAATCATTGATAAAAATAATGATTTTGAAAAAAGATTTTAAATACTCAAAGAACATGTGTTAATTAATTAGTAGTAAATATTGATTCGATGTTGAGAAACATATGAAATTTTATTAAAGACATACAAATTTGTTTTTCTACTAATGAATAAAACTCAAATTGTATTTGAAAATACTTCAATGTGAGCTTGAAGATGATCACTTGGTGATTGAAACACGTATCGACATAACAGTTTGGTGTTGGGAAAAAACTCCAATAATATTCAAGTAGTATCCATGTATCCTGAGTAGGATTAGTTCTGGTGTACTGGTAAGTCGAAAGTTGCGCGTTTGTTTGTACGTATACTGCATACGCCAAAAAATTTGTATTTTGACTTGACGTTCAAGTTGAAGAGGCGTTGGAATGCCTCGTTTATCTTTGATTTTCAACGATTTAGTTCTCTGTCTTCATAAGGGGAGATGCCATCGCCCGCACTTTCTCAACCTTTTCCTCCAAGGTCAGTTAAGTCCAGCAATGCATTTGTGGTTCAGCCCAGCACCACTGATGAGACTAATTGAAACAGCGCTCTCTGGCGTTGAATCTCAAATGTGTTTTGTTTGGGTTCTAGTTCTCAGCAAGTCAAAGTTTACTGACGTATTATTTCGTGAAATGAATCCTAATACTGACTGTAAATTAACTGCACAAGAAACGGCATCTGATGTTACTTTAATCTGAAATCAAGTAAATGACTTAGGTCATCTGATTTGCATGAAAATTCTTCATGCATGTAGTCGCTACACCAGTGTATTGCTCGTTCATTGTCACTGTCATTTTAATTGACAACAAAAGTCATTCCATTTCTCAAATCAATTCTCATTACAATGAACACCTTTCCGGCCGACAACTACATCAAAAGGGAACGTCAGAGAAAGGAGAAAAACCAGAAAATGATCGAAAAAATGCGATCCAACTTACCGGTATATACCATCGACGAAATTCGCGAATACAAGCTTCCCTTCGACGAAGCACTTTTGATCGGACTCCAGGAGAAGGGCTACTTCAGTACTGTATCGTATCTAAAAGAATTGTTCGAGTACCAAACGAACCTGAGGGAACAGGCAGGAATCGGTACTATTGTATGGCTGAGGCCTCAGCTCATATACAGCAGGCCTGAGCTGGAGTATTTGAGTAACGGCTTGCGTTCATCCGAAGATAATCACAAGAAAAAACATTTTGCCCAGGAGTGCCACGACTTCTTGTCGCTGGCGGTACACTTCGCTTTTGACGGTCCCGACTGGTGGTGGCTTGGCGAGCAGTTGTTAATGCAAGCCATCAGGATAACCAAGGAATACACATCGCTAGGAGGAAAATACGAAGCTTTAAGTCACTTCGCCTACGGTAAGTTCCTCATCGAGAACGTAAAGGAGTACAGCGCCGCCTTGCAGCAGTTGGAGATAGCGAGGGAGCTGTCCGAAGGTAAAGGCTGGACCAGCAAAAATTTTTTCCCAGGAGAAACTGGTACGCTGTTCATGCAAGTGAACCTTCACCTCTTTCACTGCTTGTATAGAGAAGCGAAATATCTCATGAAAATTGATACAACGAAGGCCATTTCTCGGATAGTAGAGGCTAGGAAAAGGGCAGCCGAATCGTGTTATCACGAAGGCGAAACAAAGGTACTCATGCTGAAAGGAACTTGCGAGATGGAATCTCGAGATGTGAAATCGGCCATCAACTCCTTCGGTAGAGCTCTGTACCTTCAACAGAAACTGCGGTCGATCGAAGGGATATGCAAAGTGAGAATACAGTTGGCCAAAGCATACCTCATGGACAATAATGCAGAGAAGGCTTTGGGAACGCTGCTGTTACTGAAAGAGGATGCTGAAAAATTCGACCTGCCGTTCTACATGGGGCAAGCATACAAGAACTTGGGTGAGTACTACCTCATCGCTGGGGAACCGGAAAAGGCAAATTCTCTTCTGAATAAAGCCATGGAGATTTTTCGCGAGTGCCAAGTTGAAGCTCCTGACATAGAAACAGTTCGAAATTTGGAAGCCATCTCCGCGGGGTTGGATCGGTTTCACGACTATGTAAAGCTGATTAAGCAAAGCGGGACGAAAGACATAGAGGGCTTTCGGCATCTAATGAAAATGGTGGCTTGGAAGGACGAAAGGAAGCCTTTCTGGGACACCGAAGAGAAAGTGCATCATCAGAAGTCGTTGAATGAAATTCTTGTAGAGAGTATCGCGACAGGTGCTGGAGAAACTGGAAAATTCGTAGATAATAAAGTAGCGTCGAGGAAAATTGAAGGTGATCCTGATGATCCGAAAGCTCTGATAGAATTGCACGACAATAAGAATACGTTCAAATCAGAATCGGAACCCGGTTTGGAGTCTGCAACAGAAAAATAAAACAGATAGTGTTGAGTGATGTACCACTTTTTATTTTACAAACAAAAAAATATATATTAGTTTTTTTCAAATTATCACCAACCATTAATGTCCTTTTCTCAATTGGTTCGTTTCTTTTCTGGACAAAGAAGGCCACATTTTGAGACAACTTTCTGTTAGATGTCTAGTTATACTCAAAGTACCCCATTCAACGAATTCAATATCTCGTGTAGAAAAAAATAGTGATTAAATTGGGAAATCTGGCCGTCAGGGGTCAGCCAAGTCAATCCTATACTTTTTAGGCTGCTTTGAATGCTGTTTGACCTGATCCAAGAGTATCTAAGAATTATCAAATATGCAACTGGGATGTATTTTGATCCAAAAAAAATTGTTACACATTTATTAACTTTTCTTGGAGTGAAATCTTGCTCAACAGATGAATGATTCTTTGAAGCTTGAAAAACAATTTCTTTGTTGTTGGATTTTTGTTTCCTTTTTACTAATCATAAGCACGAAGAAGGCAATTGGGACACGTTACAAATATATTTTCAAATCATATCTCGTTATACCTTACTAATATTGATCTCAGCTGTTTTGGAGCTTCTCAACTACAGCAGCTCCAAATATTCTTGGTAGAATCTGATCTACACCGAGTTCAAAAAGTCTCCTTTCTCATTCGATAAATAATAGGCTGAGCATCATTCGCAATAGTACTCCTACTACAAAAATGTTCGATTGTCTGAATGTGCTGTTAGAGAATTGAATGAATTTTCGAATGTCACAAAACCTTACCCGTTTCCTCCTTGGTAACGGTTGATTCCTCACAGATATTTTTCTTGAAAAAAAAAGTAAAAATGATACATTCTTAGGTAAACTTATTTCGATATTGATAGCTTGTCTTGTTTAATAGTTGAAGGAGGGGGGACAGACCTCAGTGTATAGAAGATTTGTACCAAATTTCTTATTTTTAAATTTATATATTCCTCGTATATAAAGGAAATATATGATTTTGTTATTTTTCAAGCAAAATTTTGAAATTGTGCCTTTGAAAGGACTGTTGTTTTGAAAAAATTCCAATTTCGAATCCTCTTTAGGCATATTTATTTGGGACCAATGAGTATTCTAGTTTTCAAATTTTTTGCTTGAATTTTTTTGTGGCGCTGTGAAACAATTTCTAGTCGGAAATATGTAAATATCATAGATGAATATGTGGTATATGTTGAGTAGAAACAGTAGATAGAGTAAAAAATTAGAACAAAAAAATTAAACATTTTAACAGCTTCCGTTTGGTGTTTAGATTGCTTCAAAGTGAAGTGGTGAATTTGAAGCTTTGCATTTTCAGGGGACATTCAATGAGAGAATTGAATTTGTTGAGGTTTGGTTATTATTCTGGTATGGTGTGAAATAAAATCAATAGGACGTTTTAGAGTGGTGAGTTTCTGTATGCTCAATTTCGATGGAATTTTTTTTATATATATAATTGCGAATAGTTTGATGTTAGGACTTAGTTTTCCTGCATTTTTTTGTTCAAACATAAGCATATCAAAATCAAATAATCGAAAGATACCACGAAAGATTCCCAGAATCGATCATTTCAACATAAAATCAAACATCTGAATACTTTTTGTCTAACCAATGAATCACATAAATTATTTAAATGAAAAAGTAAATTTCAATTATCTCTTGACAAGTTTAGAATGCAACAATTTGATTAGAAAAATACCTAAAATATCAAAAAACCTTTTGAAATTTCTGTTTTCCACCTATTTTCGTTGACCATTGAGAATGCATTAAATATTTTGTTGTATAATGAGCGACATCAACACCAGCATCTCGTTATTCTGATTGGTTATTGTTGCCACATGTTAGATTTCTGAAAGGATCTCTAGCAAATTTCAATCAGTAAATAATAGTGTGTAAATAGTCAGGAACAAACATAACTTAAATGTAAATATAAATGAAATGAATTAAAACATATATTGTCACTGAACTCGTATGGAATTCAAAATATATATTAGGAATAAGTAATTCATAATCATATATATTGTCTTTGAATCGAAAGATTTAACATATTGATATTTTTTGTCTTTGGCGTATAGAAATGTATCGTTATTTTATGAAATATGAATTATATCGGGATATATCGAAACAAAGTGTTTTCCAATTCTTAGAGAATCAATTCTATAATTTCGTTGTTTATGAACGTTTGGAAAGCAACTAAGTAGGTAGTCCAAAGTCAGAGCTTATTTTCCCAAATTTGTTATACTATTTCAGATTCGATAATATCAGATACAAAATAGAAGGTTTCTAATTATATCCAACAAAATACATACAACCTTTTGTCTGCTTCAGCTGCAGACTGCGAGGATCTGTCTGTCTGTCTGTCTGTTTTTCCGTTAATCAGCTGTCGCCCCTATACGAACGACAACTCTCAGAAGTTGAGAAACTTATGCGAACTAAGGACTAACGAGGTCTTACTTTTTAACGTGTGATTCCTAACACGGATGAAGGTAGTATCTAGAAATCTCAGCAACGACTGACCGGGGAGCTTTGTGTTCACTCGTATTTATACTTGTAGGGGGTGGTAGGGACGTTGATTCTGCGTTTGGCAGTTCTGATGTGAACTGAACCACAGGAAGAGGGTCCCTTCAAACACCAACAGATGACAGAGGATTTCTTTTAACCTTGGACAATCTGATAGTGTTGTGTAGTTCATCAGTTGGCTTGTGACGTTCAAACAGTTTTCCATCACAGTGCGTGACTTCGCTAATGTAAAGTAAGTAGACCGAGCCTATCACTAGCGGCTGCTTCGACTACTAATATGGTGGCTAACGTGACAACAGCAATATATTTCACAAGCCAACAGATCTACTATCATTCGCCGGCATTCATAGGATTTCATGTTCCTGTGGTCCATTTTACATCGGAACTACCAAACGCAGCGACAACACTAGGATACAAGAACATAAGCGTTATTGCCGCCTCATGCGGCAGAGAAATCCCATGAACGCAAAACATGTCCTAACTGAAGCAAACCACGTAATAAAATGAGAAACTGCTGATATATCTATTGACATTCCAACAATTTCAAAAGAAAAGAAGCTTTGGAAGTCAACAAAATGGTATCCAGTTATCAGGAAGGCTATAAATAGACTAGAACACAAGTCTAATTGACCTTCCACCAGTAGCACACCTATTGACAACGTGGACCAATCAGAACAAGCTCGGACCAACCAAGAGTTATCGTTCTCAAGGACAACTCCCTCTCACCCCACCCAAGTATTATAAATACGAGTGAACACAGAGGTCACTGCTCACTTGTCGGTTATCGCTGAGACTTCAAGATACTTTGTCCATCCTTGCAATCGAAGCATAAGCCACTGAAGATGTCTGCCGCAGTGAAAGACGAAACGTTTGATATACGACAAGTTCCTATCGACCACAGCCTAATAATCCGGATTTGCTTTTGTTTTAAATGATTGCTCCTATTGCATAAATAAATATTAGATCTCGGAACTTTCCAGTCGAGAAAGTTTTTCAGCCTATGTAGGCTAACTATTGGGCATTTCTGGAGTGATTTGGCGACATTCATTTGTGATTCGTTGCCGTAAATCTTCGAGTGATGCAGGAGGAGTACAGTAAATTCTGCTTATCATATGACCCCACAGAAAAAATCTAAGGGCGAAAGGTCTGGTCATCGTGGTGGCGATTCGATAGTGCCCCGCCTCCCAATCCAGTGATCCAGATTCGGAAAAGTCTGATATGAATACTGCCGAACAGGCAGAGCATAGTGCGGAGGAGCCCCGTCTTGTTGAAATATTAACAGATCCTCGCGATAATTGTGGTCATTTTCAATAATATCAGTGAGAAGGGGATTAATAGTATCTTCCAGAAGCTCCAGATTCATTTGTTCGGTTAAATTGCCTTCTAAAAACAATGGGCCAATAATACGGTCACCAAAAATTCCAGCCCATACATTTAATCTTTGTGGACGTTGAGTATGCACTTCATGAAAAATGTGAGAATTTGAATCAGCACAATAGCGACAATTATGGCGATAAAGTGTGCCATTTAGAAAAATAGAACATGCATCACTGAAGCAAATGTTGAAAATAAAATGTGGATTTTCCACCGCTCGTTCACTAACCAACTCGCAAAATTGCAAGAGTCGATCGAAATCATCTTCATTCAGTTCTTGCGTTAATTTAATCTTCTAAGGATGAATTTCGTGGGTTTTTAAAATACGCCGAATGCTAGTTCGTGACACCCCGGAAACAAATGCTAACTTTCTTGTGCTCAAAGTATGGTCAAGCTCAACATGACCTAGAATTGCCACTTGTGTCGCCTCATTTGTTACTGGTGGTTCAATTTGCCGCTTTTTATTTGCTACAGATCCAGTTGCGCGAAATTTTGCAATTAAATCGAAAACATCGCGACACATTCTTCCCATGTTGTTCATTGAACAGTTCACCGGCTCTCGCAGCACAACGTCTATTTCCATAGTACAGTTCAATCAACTCAACCCTTTCTGCAGTTGTGTAAACCATTGTTTCTATAGCAACACTTTACGGCACTCACTACTAGTGATAATGTAGATATCACTTCCAACATAAAAATGAGAAATAGAAACAGCATTTTTAACCATTTCTCAATTGTAATAGTCCTCTTATCAGAGAATAACTAAAAAATTAAAAGAAAAGTAACGTAAGAAACAAATGAAAGAGTTCCAAATACATTCCAACTGAGCAGTGGCGTACAACAATTTGTTGCTATTAACAATATTGAAAAAGTTGATTATCGGAAAGAACTCCTTTGAATACGTCCAAATTTAAAAAAATGTACATCATTGTTTAGAGAATTCCAAAATCTTTCAAATGATGTGCGACTCGCCCCCTATTCCCTATTAAAATTCCGAGGGTTGTTCACCCCTCTGCTCCGGGGTTGAAGTGACGACGCTGTAAATAGGTAAAAAAACTGCCTCTCATCCCAATTAAAATCGACTTGTCTGAGCGTTTTTTCGGATTTGCAAGATTAGTACCCAAAACCTCCATGTAAAGTTTTCGATGACCTACCCTGTATATAGTACTTATGGGAC